AGGCGACGACGATGATTGTGACGGTAATATTGTACCCGAGTTTGAATTTGAGTTGTGATCATCGTTATTATTATTTTTATTATTTTTGTAATTATTTGCAATTTTTTTGTTTTTCTTATTTGACAATTTTCCAAAAGATTCAGATCTACGTAATTTCATTATTTTTGGAGACACTAAAGAAAGTACCGGAGATGTAGGTGTCGACGTAGAAATTGTTTTTGTGGCAATATTATTGTTGGTCTTAGTTTTATTGTAATTTGTTTGATCAATTTTTATAGTATCAACATTTAGTTTAGAAGGCGCAGAAGGTCTTCTCTTTAATATATTGTCAGTAATTAAATTACTGCCGCCACTACTGCTATCATCACGACCTTCTAAGGTTATTTTTTCGTTATTGTTTTTGTTAAATGCTTTTTCTTCCAAGATTGTTTTAAGATTTGTTCGAGTTGGTGTAATTAATTCTTCGTCATCTTGTTCTTGCTCCTCGTTTTTTTCATGTCCGTTTTCGTTTAATTTTTTCATAATCGCGCTCTGACATTTGTACTATTTTACTATGAACAGGGTAACATCTACCACACCTTTCGCGAATAATTTCATTTTAGATGATGATTATGATAATAATAATGGTAATGGCAGATAATCAAACAATTTATTATTCGTAAAAATCAAACAAACATTTTATCATTATTGTTAATTAAAAAGAAATGAATTAAAAATTTTAAAACCAAAATATGATTAATTATAATATATAAATGATATATTTTTATATTCACGTTACACATAATTATTAATTGTAAAGGAAAAGAGGTTGATAAAATTGATGAATTATTATCAATAGATGATATTAATATATATATTATCTATTACGCGTACGTTGAATTTTATGCACAAAATTATTCATGATGAAATAAAAACCGCTTTTATATTACACAAAGTATATGTATGTTAATTTTAATGTAATAATAACTTGTATTCAATATCAAATATATGTAATATCAACTATTAATAACTATCAATACATAATAATAAATAATTATTTTCGGAATATTTCCGAAAATATTCAATTTTTATCTTATTGTTATGCGAATTAAATAACCATGTTAATTGATTTATTTTGATTAAAGTTTGGCTGGCCATTATTAAATTTGAATCATGAAAACTATTTCGGCAATATCATAACAATAATTTATCGTATGAGGAGTAATCTCGGCTATCATTTATAAAGTAAACAACATCATCGGAATTTTTTTCCTTCTAAAAAAAGTCATTATTATATTATCGCACAAGTAAATAATTCGTGTACACACACAAAACTTTTTTTAAAAGCCAAACAACAACAAATATTATTTATTTATTTTTTATACTTGTACAATAATTTTTGAATTTCAAAAATGTTTTTTTTTTTTGCTTTTGTGAATTATTTTTGCTTTAATTTCTCCATGATTACATGACATATCGAAAGGTCTTGCTTGGCTTCAATTCTATTGTTTTTTGAAGGAATTAAAGTATCTCCAAGGCCAATAGAAAGTTACGGGACTATGTGCCTTACCTGCACAAAAAAATTGGTCTGACAAAGAATCGAATTACTCAAACAGATAAACACAAGATAATTAATTAAAAAAACTTGATACAAAATAATATTGCCAATTTGTTGTATGTCTTCTTTTTTAAACAATTTTTAAATCGTTGTCTCTGAAATTTTAACATGGTATTTTTAACAAAATCACATATAATAATTATACAAAAAAAAATACATCAATTCGTAGCTTAAATTTTGAGGATTATGAATATAAAATTATATGTATCCATATTTTCTAGAACTTCATCAGTTAAAAATAAAAGAAATTCAAAAAGAAAATTTTAATTAATGATATGCTTCATGTAACAATTTAAAATCTCTTGACCCTCTGATATAAATTTTATAATGTGGCTTTTGATTCTCGTTACTTTCTTAGAAAGCAAATTTACAGGTCAATTACTTTCGTAATACACTGTATATCTAGCATTTTTTTTTGTTTTTTTACAAGAATATAAAAAACTTTACATGTGGATCCTCGATTAAGCCTTCAGCTTGAAAGCATCGCGTTATAATAAGCTCATCAAACTTGTGATGAAAACTTAAAAGGTCAAAAGCTATTAAAAATGCTACTTTTAAAGAAGTAATGTATTTTTATTCATATCAACAGGTTTTTATTATTTACATTATGAAAATTAACGTATATAGAGAATGTATTGCTTCTTGGTTAACACTAAAGCTGCCAATATAACCTCAATTTTCTATTAACAAATATCGTAGCTCTGGAAAACACATATATATCTTTTGTCTTTTATTTTTCCATTCATCCATGAAACGAAGGAGAATCCGGAGGGGGGATTTTAAAGGTAAAATGTGGCCAAATATATTGCAAGTAAAACTTTTGTTAGTGAGGCTTTAACGCAAGTTAGTCCATATATATGATTGTAAAGTTTGAAAGTAGAATAATTATTGTGTAACTGATCAGTAGAATGGTAAGAAAATTATTTACTCCGTTCAAAAACACTATTTTACTCGTTAAACGTATTCATAACATCACGACAGTAAATATACACCCATAGTTACATAACTAACGCAAAATGGCAAGACAAACCACCTTCTTTAATTCAACGTCAACATCTATGTACCATTTGTGACAAAAAGCGATACAAAACATCTAGAAGTCTTGTTCGTCATGAAAATTCGGCTTGTGCATCTTACAATCAACTTCCTGCCAATATATAATTTCAAATCTCCATGTACTGATAACAGTATTTGGAAAACAATTAAATCGATTTTCGCCGGCGAACGTACCTATCGATGCATTTTAAAAGGTTATGAGGCGGAAGATATGTTTAGGGGAACACGATATCATGAAGAAATTAGCAAGAATAATTCAAACCACCAATCACTTGAATCTCGTGTTACAATAGTACAGCTAGAGATGACTGTAGAATGGTTTCAAGAAAATATTAAAAATGCAAAAGGGCATGAACAATTAAGAATTAATTTCGTTAAGATCAAGAATATTGCATATAAAAAGAAATTCTTGCCATGTGATTTCATAATAGAGTCTTTTTGGCTGACGTGATATTATGCTTCAAATGGTTTTTTTTTGATCGAACTTCTTTTCTTAGTAAGCATCTTTATCAATCCATTGAATTTTATATGTGGTTATTGTTCAATATAATAATAAATAGACGCAATTACCGTGATTTCTTTTTTTGCACTCTTCCCCAAGTAACTTTCATTTTATGTTCAATACGCATTTTATATTCTCCAGGTTTTTTGCAGTTTGTTGTAAGATTGGCAATGGCGGATAAATACCTTGTTCTAGAATATTATGTTTTAAACTCGAGCGATTTAATTGTTTTCACAAGATGAAATAGAATTTTGTCTCTTTTAAGCTGTTATATAGTAGATTTATTAAAAACCATTAGAATATAAATTCCATTAATAATACAATGATTGATTAATTAGCACACATTCACTAATTTGCTAGTAGCGTATGTTGAGTCAATTTATCGACTAAATTTTGGAAGCGCATATTAGTATTAATAGATATGAAACTTTACATTTGTCGCACACTGATGATTAATTTTTTACCATATTTATCGAAAATAATAATATTTACATAAAAATGAAAATAAATGAATAATTTTCTAAATATTAAAAATACAATTTAATAATTAAAAAAATGAGAATAATGAATAAATAAAAAAATATAATCTAATTAACAATGTTTGAATTACGATCCGCCACCACCAAAAAATGAAGCAATTGAAATGCTAGAAGTTCTTGTTCTTTTATCTGGTTTTGCTCTACTATTACAACTATTAAATTTATGCCTAGTAATAAAGCGACTATTATTATTATCATCGTTAGATTCATTATCAGTGAGGGTATTTACCAATGACCTTAAACTGTCCAATTGAGAGGCTAGAATATCCTTTGATCCTTCACTTTCTGCCAATTTCAATTTAACATCTATTAAATCTTGTTCCAAACCTTTTAATTGTTTACTTGCTTCACAATCTTTACCATTACATGTTATTGAAACCATTTGATAACCCTGCGAATTTGATGATGCCTCATCATCATCTGTAGTAGTTGTTGTTGTTTCTTCATCGTATAATTTATTTCTATTTTTATTTTTGCTGTTTCCATTTTTATTTTTGGTGATTTTATTTTTATTGCCAGTGAAATAATCAAATATTGAAAGTCTTTTATTGTTAACATTATCACTACTAGTATCAGTGTAACTACTACTATAACTGCTACTATAGCTACCACTACTACTACCACTACTACTACTATATTCATCGTCATCATCTTCATCTGTCCTGCTACTATCATCCTCATCTGTACTATCATCGCTCTCGGAAAATTCAAAATCTAGTGGAGTTTGGACGTCTTTAATTAATTTTATTTTTGATCTCAACGTTTCAATCTCTTTTTTAAGTTTTTTATTTTCACCAATAATAATTTGATTTTGTTTTTTGACAGTTTTAAGTTCTTTAGCATCTTTCGATACTTTACGTTTTTTAAGTCTCTCGATTTCTTCACGCAAAAACGAATTCTTTTCTTTTAATTTGGTTTGCGCCTCATCAGAAATCTCCAAAGAGCTTTGTAACTCTTCAATTCTTCTATTCAATTCATCATTCTCCTGCATTAAATCGAACTTTTCCATTTTGGTTTGTACTAATTCATCAGTTATTTCGTCTGTTTCATTGATGTTATTATTATTGTTTTTGTTGTTGTTTTTGTTGTTATTGTCATTATCTGATGTTTCAGGTGTCGTTAATATTGTCGTTGATGATAATGATGCTGTTGGAGATGTTGTTGATGATGCATTATTAACTGAGGTCGAATACGAAGAAAATATACTTGGCATTGAAGCAAAACTTGGTATTAATGGAATACGTTGTGGATTTTTGACTACATCTGATTCTGATGATCTTCTTTCTGAAACTTTTTTCCCTTTTTGTTTTGCAGCAGCGTCGGTTTCAACTTTGGTTATTCCTTTATGTGAAATCGTTAATTCAGTTGAAGGACGTGGTGTAATGTCTGGATCTTCCGCTGAATTATTGCTATTGCTATTTTTGCTTTTACTATTAATGATATTCTGATTGTTTATTGATGAACATGAAGTTCTTCTAGGTGATAATTTTGGCAACGAGTTCCTTTTATTGTTATCTAATGACGACAATGAAGAAACAGAACTAATTGAAAACGTTGAAGATATTCTTTTATTTTCTTTTTCGAGACCTCTAAGTCGATTCTTTAGATTTTCATTATCGGTGACCAAATCCATTTTTTCCATTTTAATAGATACCAATTGTGCAGTAATATCCACATGTTCTTTTTGCAATACAGATAATGCAGTCACCAAATCTTCTATTTGTTGGTGCAGTACGCTTGAATTGTTTGTGGTGATTGGTGAGAAGGAAGTGTTGTCAGTTGATGAGATGGAAATATCACTTGTTATACTACTTATGCTGCTAACACTATCCTTGTGATTATGATGGGGGTCGGCACTGTTGTTAGTAGTGATGCCATTGTTTTTACTATTACTATTACTCTTACTATTGCTATTACTATTACTATTACTACTACTATTACTACTAATGCTATTAACGCTACCGCTGCTATTGTTATTATTAAAAGATATTCTTGAGGTTGGCAAATTGGTAAAAGACCAACGTTTAGACTTTTCATGTTTCTTAACTTCATTAGTAGCATTATTGGTAATTTTAATGTTATCTTTCTTCTTTTCGTGTTTGGTGGACTGTTTATTATTACCAATTGTAAATCTTCCGTTAAATCTAACTGCCACCAATTTCTCTGCTCGCTTCTTCTGTTCCTCTAGCTCTTTAACATAACATTCATCCAATTGATCTAATTTTGCCTTGGTGATTGCAGTACTTAATTCCATTGCATCTTTAATCAGGCCTGTAGGCTCATTGTCATAAGATTCGTAAAGTCTTGAAGTTAAAAAATCCAACAAATCTTCAAATTCTCCAAATGACAGCAATCGTTCCTCGTTCTTTTTCAACAATGCAATGGCCACCCGCATAATAGTTTCAGGAGCGCCTTCAGCAAACACTACGTCATAAATTCTCATAATCAACGGTAGAGGGTAAGTGTAAGCAAACAGTGATAAAAACCATTGAGATGCAAACATTGCTGGTTGAACAGCATGTAGTTGGAAATGAGCATGGAGTTTTGGTAGGATTTGGGTTAGCAGAGATGAAAATTGGTAGAGCCTTAGTTGAAGGCCTTCCATGTTGAGCGTGAACATTGTTCTCATATCATAAGTTTCCATTAGTCTAACAAATACACAAAATGCCTGAGTCTCATTCATATTCATCAACAATGGACCAACCAAGAAGCCAAGACCTTGACAATAGCCAACTAATGGATCATAAAGACTGTAGGCTTTCAAAACATTCCATAGCATGGTTTGACCTTTGCCATTTTCTTCCTTAAACATTTCGACGTGAGGAAAAGTTCTTGCCAGATCACGTTGGATTATACGTTCATATGGAGATGATTCAGGCAAAAGTTGCTCGTACATTGTTTCTAAATACGTGGAGGAGGCTTGAGACATTGATTGCCAGATTAGACTTCTTAGTTTCGGCGGACAGCCATTTTGTAATTTAGCAGCAAGTAAATGTGGCAACTTGGTTGCGACGGATGGATAATCTTGAATCAGAGCAGACCAAAAATCCCAATCATTTATCTTTGATTTATCTTCCTCCGTCATAATAAAATCGTCGTTATTAGCAAGTTCTTCTAACAATAATTTCAATTGTGATGCATCGTCAATGCTGTTATTATTGTTATCATTGTCATTATTATTATTTATTCCGTCGATCAATGATTGAACTGTTTCGAGTTTGGCTTTAAGTACATTTGATTGGATGCACACTGATTTAGGATCTTTGTCCAACAATTCATTTTGTTTTTCTAGTCTTGCAAGCAAAAATTCAGCCGAACCCTAATAACAAAAAAAAAAAATTTATATATTTAGAAATAAAGTATTATTCGTGCTATAAATATAAAAAATTAAATTACATTTACATACTTGAGGAGGTAATTGAGAATTTTGTTGTTCCAATCTTGCTAGTAAATCTTTATCAAGTTCATTTCTTGGCAAAGAATTTAAAGGAGAAGCTGGTTTTAATCCATTAGTTTTAGGATTCCATTTACGACCTTTAGGAGAAATAGTAGCAAAAGGTGGAGGCAAAAGCGAAGTTGATGATGATGGTGGTGTTGTCGTTGTTGTGGTTGTGGTTGTGGTTGTAGTTGTGGTTGTAGTTATAGGCGACGACGATGATTGTGACGGTAATATTGTACCCGAGTTTGAATTTGAGTTGTGATCATCGTTATTATTATTTTTATTATTTTTGTAATTATTTGCAATTTTTTTGTTTTTCTTATTTGACAATTTTCCAAAAGATTCAGATCTACGTAATTTCATTATTTTTGGAGACACTAAAGAAAGTACCGGAGATGTAGGTGTCGACGTAGAAATTGTTTTTGTGGCAATATTATTGTTGGTCTTAGTTTTATTGTAATTTGTTTGATCAATTTTTATAGTATCAACATTTAGTTTAGAAGGCGCAGAAGGTCTTCTCTTTAATATATTGTCAGTAATTAAATTACTGCCGCCACTACTGCTATCATCACGACCTTCTAAGGTTATTTTTTCGTTATTGTTTTTGTTAAATGCTTTTTCTTCCAAGATTGTTTTAAGATTTGTTCGAGTTGGTGTAATTAATTCTTCGTCATCTTGTTCTTGCTCCTCGTTTTTTTCATGTCCGTTTTCGTTTGTTTTTTTGGTAATCATCTTGTCATTATTAATTTCAATTTGAAGTGAAAATTTATTTTTTATTATTGAAGAATTATTATTGTTGTTGTTGTTATTGTTCTTATTGTTGTTATTGTTGTTATTGTTGTTGATATCATTAATAATAATAAAATTATTGTTAATAGCTTCCATAATCTTTTCCTCGTTACTATTGTTGTTAATTACAAATTGATCGTTGATCCCATTAATTGCGGCAATTGACATTATTCTTTTTTGATTTGAGAAATCTTTGCTCCGGCCTGGGAGAGATTTTAATTTGAAAGAGGAGGGGGGGGGGGCAAAAAAAAATATGTATAAAAGAGTAAATAATAAAGATTGAACACAATAAATAAGAAATAATCACTGAACTTTTCTAACTTTTCTACAAGTTTTTACAAATTAATTTGGGAGATTAGAGATTGAGTCTTGCAAGCAAAAATTCAGCCGAACCCTAATAACAAAAAAAAAAAATTTATATATTTAGAAATAAAGTATTATTCGTGCTATAAATATAAAAAATTAAATTACATTTACATACTTGAGGAGGTAATTGAGAATTTTGTTGTTCCAATCTTGCTAGTAAATCTTTATCAAGTTCATTTCTTGGCAAAGAATTTAAAGGAGAAGCTGGTTTTAATCCATTAGTTTTAGGATTCCATTTACGACCTTTAGGAGAAATAGTAGCAAAAGGTGGAGGCAAAAGCGAAGTTGATGATGATGGTGGTGTTGTCGTTGTTGTGGTTGTGGTTGTGGTTGTAGTTGTGGTTGTAGTTATAGGCGACGACGATGATTGTGACGGTAATATTGTACCCGAGTTTGAATTTGAGTTGTGATCATCGTTATTATTATTTTTATTATTTTTGTAATTATTTGCAATTTTTTTGTTTTTCTTATTTGACAATTTTCCAAAAGATTCAGATCTACGTAATTTCATTATTTTTGGAGACACTAAAGAAAGTACCGGAGATGTAGGTGTCGACGTAGAAATTGTTTTTGTGGCAATATTATTGTTGGTCTTAGTTTTATTGTAATTTGTTTGATCAATTTTTATAGTATCAACATTTAGTTTAGAAGGCGCAGAAGGTCTTCTCTTTAATATATTGTCAGTAATTAAATTACTGCCGCCACTACTGCTATCATCACGACCTTCTAAGGTTATTTTTTCGTTATTGTTTTTGTTAAATGCTTTTTCTTCCAAGATTGTTTTAAGATTTGTTCGAGTTGGTGTAATTAATTCTTCGTCATCTTGTTCTTGCTCCTCGTTTTTTTCATGTCCGTTTTCGTTTGTTTTTTTGGTAATCATCTTGTCATTATTAATTTCAATTTGAAGTGAAAATTTATTTTTTATTATTGAAGAATTATTATTGTTGTTGTTGTTATTGTTCTTATTGTTGTTATTGTTGTTATTGTTGTTGATATCATTAATAATAATAAAATTATTGTTAATAGCTTCCATAATCTTTTCCTCGTTACTATTGTTGTTAATTACAAATTGGCGTAAGTATACGTCAATTAATCAGTCACTTCCTCTTTTTTTTTAAAAAAAATTATCGAAATGACATGTCAGAAGATTTATGTGGCGATGATCAGGGCCCCCTCCCGGGATTAGGTAAATATACTGCACTTCGACTTTTGCTGTCTAAAGGTGGATGAAAGTGCCCTTGTTGAATGCAAGAAATTGAGATATCCAAGTCAAAGGATTTAATGGAAATCAGCTAAGCGTCTATTAATTTCTCACTGTATAGGAGATCAAACAAATGATTAGTGATAATAAAATTTTTTTTGAATTGATCGGCAAGGTGTCACTTGATTTTTTTTTTGTTATAGAATTTTCCTGTTCTTGTTGATGATTTCATCGACCCAAATTTAGTCGAATTGCCATTTTTGTCTTTGATTATTTAATTTTCTGCCAATTATATCTTTACATAAAGAGTTTCTTTCGATATGGAGGAGAGCTTTTATAGCATAGTGTTATTTTATATTGACAACGAATGACAGATGCCCGTGCTTATTATAAAAATAATTAGTCATTTGCTAATCCCGTTAAAGATAGGAAACATTCAACAATTTCTTTATATTATACTGAGGCTTGGTGTAAAATTTTACCATATTAACCATATTTAGTATTTGAGTATTTCCAATGGACCAGACCAAAACTCGTTGGTCTTGATGAACCCAGTGCCAGCCACCAACTAAATGTGATTTCCACATTGTACATGACATATAGGTTTTTTATGATGTAAATTTGTTAAAAAGATAAGGCCATGACGTACTATTATCATACAGAATTTTTTGCATTATTAATAAAATCCCAACTTCCATTTTTAGGTAAGAGATTCTTTCTACCTATAACACAGATTACGTCATGCATGAACTCTAAAAAACTCCAAAAATCCTCAAAGTAGTTGGTAATTTAGTTGATTTATGATTTATTTTAATCTCTCGACAAAAGAGCGAGTCCATTGGTAAAAAAGTAAGCAAATGTAATTGCGATAGTTTTTTATAACAAATTTAGATGGTTGATCTAAACTATAAATGCCTATTACCATCAGAATAAATCAATAGCCGTTAGTGTCACGACCGCGGAGATTTGCTGAATTATTACCAACAATCTTGTGGCTGCTATATGTGATAGCACGCAATAGGTATTTAATTTTTCCACGAGGGTTTAAACTTGTTTTCCAAAAAAACAATTGATAATGATAATGCATTATACCAAATAGGCTTTAAAATGAATACTATTTATACTAATTGAAAAAAAGAAAATTTTTACTTTTTTTTTTTTTTTTTTTTTAAATTTTTTTTTTTTATTTTTTTCTTTTTTTTTTTTTTAAAATAATAATAATAATAATAATAATTTCTATAATCTATATATTATTTACAAGAATTCCATACACCATTTGTATTAGCTTTAATTTTTCCTGATATAAAAAATCCATTATCATTATCATTATTAGATTATCATTATTATAATCCTTTTATTTAATTATTTTTATTTTGCCTTGGTTTTTTCTTCTTATTTATTGAGTAGTGTTTACAAAAAAACAACCATTTTATAGGCTTATTTCACAAGGATTAGTTGCTAGTTGTGTGAAAAAAAATTTTTTCTTTTTAATATTGCATCTTATTTTACATAATTTATTATTTTATAATTATTATTCATTTTTATTTATTGATCTTTTTTATCTGTTGTTATATATGTCGATTATATCAGTGATTGTTTGTGATATAAACGAATTTATATTGTATTTTATTAATTTCAACAAAATAAAACGCAGCAAGCAAGAGACATTATAAAACCGTTAACATCACAATCATTATATAGTGACCCTCCATAAATGCACCCTATGTCCCTCTGGAGTTAGAGATAAATGCACTCCTCTACATTGCACGGTCTTTTCCGGACCCATTCATACCCACTCATGACTTTCACGTGATTAATGTGCAAAACAAGAAAAATTTGTTGGAAATTAAGAATTAATTGAACTATATTGTCTTTTTTAATATTTAGTAACAGAGAATAAAGAGTTATTAGAATAAGAATGCAGATGGTGAAACTTTTGTAGGTGAAGTTATTACATATAAGAGGGCAAGACAAGAATCAAGAATTAAAAAAAAATTCATTTACGCTCATTACTCTCTTGTAACAAGTTTAATAAAATAAAATTTAAAAACCTTACACCATTATTACTAATTATCTAATTCATAAACTGATTAATAAATAATATTATTTAATTTTTGCAATCACAAATAATAATCACATTTACACACCAATTTAAGTAAATCCAGAAGAGACAATTTATGAAGATGATGATAGCACCGAGCCAGTAATAATAAGTGCGAATGAAACTTCAAAAAGTTTGGAAATTGTCCATGCTTTTTTATAAAAAGAAAATTTCTAAAAGATATGTACAGTCTCCGGCGAAAGTAATGGCGGTGATAATTTTTTTAAAAACTAAAAATTTTTAACAAGCAACTATCAATAAAATTTTATTTTTAAAACGCCTCTAAGTAAAACATCATGCTTTTAAAAGCTTATAGTATAAAATGTTTTCCTCCTTTCTCAATCCTGGTCTGAATCTAATTTGTGCATTAAAAAAAAATCGGAACTTTGGCTTTTTTAAAAAATTTTTAAATTTCATTTTTCTATTAAACTTTTTTTTTATTAAGTAAATGAATCTTTATACATTAAATAAAATTATTCAAAATGAAAAATTCCACATATCCTAAAAATTTTATGAATATTTTTTCACTTTTCTTTTTTTCATTCTTTTCTTTATTGGCTTTTCCCATTACATAATTCACATAGAGTTGATTTTTTATAGTTTTGCAATGTAATAGAATAGAATAACAATCTACAAACAGTTCACTGACAAAGATAACCTTTTATTAATCATTACTGATAAAATAATAAATGCAAACAATAATAGTGTCACTGATTAAATTTGGAAGAGTGTATTTTAATGGGTGACAACAAGTATTTTTGTTTATGTGTGGATCAGAATGAATAGGTTATCAATGAATTGATTTTGGATTAGCAAATAATTTTGGTTAAAGAAGATAAAAGTTTTAAATAAAATAAAATATTTATTATTTTATTTATTTAGTTTTTCTTAGTCGAAACTAATTAACTTATGAAGAAGTTATTTTGCAAGTACATTGAATTCATGTTCCTTATATACAAATTGATCAATTAGTAATTCTAATATCTCAAAATTAAGATATCCGTTCAATATTGAAAAGTTATCATTGGTAAGATGATTCTTTCCTAAATAAGTTAAATAAATCACGACGTTATACAAATAAAGTTATTGCAATAATGGAAAAATCAGAATGGCATTCTTTGATTGGCTTGTGGAACGTCAGTGCCATAAGTCAATTATTAAATTCATTCTTCGATTTTTTAGTTAATTTTAATTTTACTAACATGATTATTGACATGTGATGCATGCAATAACTGGTTTATTGTATGTTGGAGTAAACGCTTATTCAGAACTTAAAATGCACATTCATTTTATCATTATTAAATAATTTTCAAATCCTAAATTTTATTGTTCCATTCATAAAAATACCAAAAGCAACACAAGTAAGTAAATAAATATTTGTTTGTTGTATTGTCAAATTGTAAAACTAAAGTTCTTGTCTGTTGTACCATAGAAACAAATACCACCCAACTTTGACATGTCATTTCTTCCAACTGATCAACAAATAAAAGACATTCAAGAAGCTGGTATACCATTAACTACGAAAAAAAATACTGAATTCTGGGTTAAGGTTTTAACTAACTATAGAGAAAAACATCATAATGGAATTCCAATTGAATTGGTTAACGACAAA